GAGTCAAAATGAAAGTTGTATATCTTATTTTTACCTACGCGTGGATATAAAGAACGTCAAAAACGGAGGTCGTATGTGAAAGTTACGGATTTTAGAAGTCGGAAGTGTGCTGTGCGAAAATGGGTGATGTGGCACAATCTTGGCCATTGCTTTCTCCCCAAGTCTTGCCACTAGATGGTGACATGTGGCACCAAGTTCAGCCATTTTTCACCCTATAAATAGAACCTCTCACACCCTCATTTTCTTCACACATTTCCCATTCTTTCTTCTCTTTACTCTCTCTCTAGAACCTCTCTCTAGCCCTGAAACCCCCCGAAAAGCCTAGGGAACCTCCCTAGCACGAGGCGGAAGCCCCGGAGTGCTTGACGGCTCTGAGAAGAAGAGCTTTTCGGCTCGGGAACGCTGCTTCAAGCAAAGCCCGATTTTCTATAAAACCCGTTTTAAGTGAGCTACGTCTACGCTATTTTTAATATAGCTTTTATTTAATTATAGTAACGTTATTAGGAACTTATAATACGTACTTGAGCTATTATTATGGGTTATATAAGTATTTTTTTAACGCTTATATAATAGTAATAATCAAGGTTGGAAAAATCGCTCGGCGGTAGCTCGACGGTCGACTGGGGTCAAGCGACTAATCGGTTTGGCGGGGATTAATCGGGGACCATAAATTACTAATAAAACTATTTCAAAACTTAATGGGAAAATGACTCTTGAAGGTAATTAACTTTTGCTTTTGTACTCATTTGGTCCCTTTCCTTTTTTTGTATTCAATATACCATCGAACTTATTGTTTGTGTTCACCATAACCCTTTTGACCGGCTTTTGACCTGTGATAGCCGGTCAAAGGGTTATGGTGAACACAAACAACAAGTTCGATGGTATATTGAGTACAAAAAAAAGGAAAGGGACCAAATGAGAACAAATGCAACAGTTGGTGACCCTCCTGATTCATTTTCCCTTTACTCATTTACAGCAAATATCACGTCATCTCCTACTGATATTAATGACTTTATGATATTCATTATTGCTTCTCTTCAAAACATAACACACGAAAGAACATTATTCATACATGTATAACTTTGTAATGCACCTGAATATTTATTAGGGGAATCTTGACTAAGCAGACGCATTTCATGACTACATTTACATTTCCAATCAAATGATTTATCGTATCATGGATTCTAGACAAGTCTACAAACGAGTGGAATCACAAGTTCTGTGATTTTTGAGTTTACTTAGCTTTAAGATTGAATTCATGGGATAAGATACAACATCAATATGCACAATATCATGTTGCTTTTGTAGACACATCACCATAATATACCTTGAGGTAAACGTTTATGCTGATAAATATACCTCTCATACACAGTCATATCCTTTTGCAAAGAGGTGTTGACAGCTAACCACAGTAAGCATAACATAGACCATGTTTTAACGAGGTTACCCCTTTGAAACGCTCTTCATATACGTTATAGCCAAAGAAGGTTGCAGTCTTTGATAATTTTGCAACTTTAATTTCATTTAACTTTTCGGGGATAATGACTCAGGAGGGTAACCACCTGTTGAGTTCGTTCTCATTTGGTCCCTTTCCTTTTTGTTGTACTCAATATACCATCGAACTTGTTGTTTATGTTCACCATAACCCTTTGACCGGCTATCACATGTCAAAAGTCGGTCAAAAGGGTTATGGTGAACGCAAACAACAAGTTCAATGGTATATTGAATACAAAAAAAAGGAAAGGGACCAAATGAGTAAAAATGCAAAAGTTAATTACCCTCAAGAGTCATTTTCCCAAACTTAATATATCATAAGAAAAAATAGTATTTGAAATTTTAAAATTTTAAAATTTAGAAATTTTGAAATATTTGGTATAATATTTGAAAATTTGAATATTTAAAAGTTTAAAATTTTGAAGTTTTGTAAATTTTGGTGTAATATTTGAAATTTTGAAATTTTGAATTTTTTAAAATCTTCCCGCCAAGGACCGTCAAGGACCGCCGAGGACCGCCTAGCCTAAGTTTGACCGATATTGACCAAATTCCACCAAGCACCCCTAATCGTAATCAGTTGCAGACCGCCTAGCGCCTAGGCGGCCGCCTAGGCCGATATTTACAACACTGGTAATAATAGCTAGACTATTAATTGGTCTCGGCGAATAATATACTAAACTATAGTGGTAATAATACTAGGTTTCGTCGAAGGAAATTATTTTTAAGAAGCAAAGCGCTGTCTGAGTTCGGAATCACCACCTTTTCAAGTGAGTGCATAGTTACTTTCATCTTACACATAGATATGAAGTATTTTATATAAATTACGTGGTATATGTGCATATTATTTGAATACTTGTTTTCTATGTTGGATGAACGATTTTATACATGTTTTAAATAATTTAAAATGTATATGTATTTTATATCTACGAATATGTTGTGTAAAACATGGGTAGATGAATGATGAAAGATGATATAAGTGAATATTGGCAGCTATAGACTTAGTGCCTAACAAATAACATCGGCAGCTATGGACTTAGTGCCTATAGAATAAACATTGGTAGCTATGGACTTAGTACCTGTTAAATAAACATTGGTAGCTATGGATGTAGTACCTATTAGCTGAACACCGGTAGCTATGGATTTAGTACCCGATGAATGAACTTTAGCAGCTATGGAATTAGTGCTTTACGAACAAGCATTGGCAGCTATGGACTTAGTGTCTATCATATAAACCCTGAAAGCAATGGACTTCAGAATAAACGAATGCAGGATAGATGACTCTTAGGGTAGATTCTTAAGAGAAAGGAATATAATGGGGATGGGTAATTGGGCTGATTGTTTGATGTTTAAACATAATCATTATATTATTGTGGGTTGAAAACCCTATGTACTCACCAGGTTTCCCAACCTGACCCACTCAAGCTTATTTGTATCACAGGTGTCGATACGAAGCCACTTTACACTGAGAGATTTAAAAGAGATGTAGATCACTAGTGTAAATAAATGTAAGTTCTGTTTATGCTTATGTTTCTGTATTGACAATGACATCCCAAGGTTTTAAAAGGAATAAAAATACATTTCTTAGGAAATGCTTGGATAATGTATTTATCATGTTTTTCTGGGAACAAATTCCGCAACATTTTTATTAAAAGAAGTACTCTGATTTTTATAAACCATAAACAAAATCGGTCTTTTCTGGCCGAGAAAATGGGGATGTCACATAAAGGCAGCCCAATCCCGAAGCCCAAATCGCAAAAGCCCAACAGGGTCGTACGCTGGGCGTACTCTGCATTGTGTTGACCACCATCGGGGTGGTTGACTCTGTACACTGGGCGTACAGAAATTACGCGGGGCGTACACAGGGTTTTACCAAAACTCTAATAAGTGCTTAATGGCTTAAGCACTTAAGCCCATATTTCAGATTCATCGACCAAAAGTGTCTTAGAACCATAAAGTCTCGAACTTTAAGACTTTGGACGTCCAGAAAGCTCTTAATACATGGTCTTAATCCATTAAGACATTTCTACTACATGCATGGGACATTCTAGGCAATTGGGACATCATTTTTATCACTTAGAACCCTTTCTAGGGTCTGAAAGGACAGCTTATTCGTCCAAATCATATCATGCACCAATTCAGGGACTTTGGGACAAGAAATGGTTCCTTAAAGCTAGCATGACAAGATCGTTATCATACAAGCATAAAGTTTGAAACTTTTTACCTTTTGGAGCTTCTAGTGCACAAAACAACTTCAGATCTACAAGCTTGTTCCCCTTCTCCAACTTCTTGATGCAACACCTTCTTCTCCAACTACTCAAAACACACTCTATAAGCTCACACACTCAAGGAAATGATTAGGGTTTGGGGAAAACGGATCTAAACAGTGGAGGCTGAGGTAAGGGAGGGTTATGAGCTCATAAGGTTGTTTATATAACACTCAAACCCTAAATATTATGGTTTCCACCTGACGTGAGTACGCTTAGCGTACCTTATGTACGCTTAGCGTACTAGCCCTGATCTCAAAGTTGCAACTTTAGCCCTTAGGCTTCTCATGGGTCGACTCTTCTAACCCCAAGGACTACAAATGACAAAATAATAATAGAAGAGAGGATTCGGAAATTCCTGCAAAATCTCAGGATGTTACAACCGGGGACGACCTTCAAGTTATTTTGGCGATGAATGAGGAAATGAAAAAAAGTTATGCTAATCGTGGCTAATTGCTAGTGTTTTTTTTTCTTTTAAGTTATAAGTTTTATGTTTCTAATTTGCTTTTCTAAATTTTTAGGTTTTTTTTAAAGATATGCAATGTATGGTATTTTTATTTTTAATTAATGAAATATTATATTTTAAAAAAAAATAAAGATTCTATCCATTAAAAAAACAAACAAACTCAAATGCGGCAACAAACCACACTATTATGGTAAAAACACATATGACGCCTACGTGGCAGTGTGGCAAAATGAGGGAGTGTGGTACTACTCCCTCCAGCCTTACATTATCCTTTTCATTTTCTTTCCCAAACATAAGGCCTGGAAAATACTACTCAGATTTTTCACGTACAAACATTTCCTTAACGTCTTGTTCCCGAGTTCTATTTAAGAAGAGAAATTGGAATATACAAAGGGAAAGTGAGGGGCGTCGAAGAAAAATCGTGTTCCCGAGTTTCATTAATGGAAGGAAAGTGAGGGAAGGGAAATGATTTTTGGAGCCATATTTTTCCTTCCAAAATTTCTTCCAAAGTTGGACGGATTTGAGAAGAAAGTGAGAGAAATGAAAATTTTAAGTTTTATTTTCTTTTTCCTCCTTTGAACTCGGGAACTCGGAACACGGAATAATGAATATTTTCCTCCACTTCCCTTTTAACAAAATTTTCATGCCCTTTCTTTTAATGAATTTACGAAGGAAAAAAAAAACTCGGGTAACAGGCGTAAAAGTATAGTTCCTTCCGATCAAAATGTAGAGTTAGAGATTTAATTCGGCATAAAACATTATTTACTTGATCAATGCTAGCAATGAAACCCTAACACAGATCCACTTCTTACTTCAATGGCTACTCCACAATTAATCCCACTTTCAACTCTATGCGTAAATATCTTCAAGACCCTAACCCTGCCAACCAATTTCATCCTCGTCTCGATCTCCATTGTTGGTCCAACAACTCCAAACTCCATTCCACCATCACCTCCAATTGCTGTCACCGTCGACGGCGACGGTCTCTCCGGAAGCGGAAAAGACTGTACAGAGAACTTCGCCGACATGTGCTGTGTATGGCCTCCGTCGATTTTTCCTGCAGGGATGAAAACAAAACCGAGAGGTGCATTGCCGTTGGAGTAGGCGAGCTGAAGCGAACTGTCATAGTGAGTGAAAGCTTCACGGTTAGGGTTGGTGACGGAGACGAATTGGAAGAATGTGAAGTTAACGGTGGCGTTTGAGATGGCGAAGGTGGGGAACTGGACGGCGTCGACGGCGATCTTGGGAGTCTTTGGTTTGAAGATGAGAAAGTAGACGATGAGTAGAGCAGTGCCGATGAAGATCAAGAACAGCGTGGCTACGAAACATGAAGCTAGAGTGGTGTTCTTGTTTGGTTTGGATCTGTAATGGTTGTGAGGCTCGTACATGCCTTCCATCTTATCTATTTCCAGAGAGAGCTCAACAGTAAAATGACAATGGAAGCGAAAAGCTGTAAAAACATAGCCTCACTTGAATTAAAAAGATTCCCCCTATTTATCCCCAAACTTGAAGTGAGGTTGATATTATATATAATTAAAATAATAATCAGTGTTCTCTGTTACCACCGTTTCAGACATTATGTAACATGTATTAGTTCATGAATCATGATAGAGGACAAACAATAGTACATGGTCAATAAAGGTGCAGATAAAGGGACAAGACAACCAATGTGGGTATTGTACAAATACACAAACAGTGGAAACGTATATTACAAATAAAGCATATAGCAAAAACTAGCAAATGCAGAACAAGAGTAAAATAGTGAAAACAGGCAGTAATAAACAACGAAAAAGAGCAAGGGGGAGTACGATAGAGACATTTAAGACAAACCAAACAAAATCTATTTAATGAAAGAAAACAACATGACAACCAAAGGGCTTCTAGCCTAGTGGTATCCGATGTTGACCTCCCTCCTTGAGGTTGAGGGTTCAAGTCCCACTGTGGATATAAGTGGAATAATTTAGGAGTAGTTTAGTTTAATATTGTATTTGTGGTGTTCATGTGTGGCCACACACGTGTATGTCATTGGTTGTATACATAGGCTTTGAGGTATACATTTGTTAAGAAAATATGGTTACCTCATCTTCATTGGGTATACATATATCCACCAAACAAGAAACAAATAGACATAACTTCATTGGGTATACATATATCCACCAAACAAGAAACAAATAGACATAACAAGAGGGCAAAGCCTATGCCTAAGCATGCCAAACCTCATCATGTCACCACCACAAAGGAGGGGCGATGTGTACAATGTCCCCTCTGCCATGTCACCACCACGTCATGTACACATGTATACCCACAAGCCTTCCAACCTAATAACAAGCTTTCATTTATAAACATAATCAAAGTCCATTAAATCTCATATAAGTTGAAATAAGTTTAAAAAAAAAATTATTTATTTTAAAAGTAAGAGTGATTTTAACTAAAACAATGAAAACTTTGAAAAAATCATGATACAAAATTACATTGTATCATCTAACAAAACAATCAAATTCTTTTCATTCATATGGAACGTACCATGATTCCTTCGTACCAAACACCACCTTACATTCGTTATTTCTAAACATTCATAATCTTGAGAATAGATTGTGTTACCTAAAATCAAATCTTCATTAAATTCTTCTTATACCATCATACAATTAACACCAATAAAATGAAAATATGAGAGAGTCATAACAGAAAACAGAACATTTAAACACTACAAAGGTCCACCAGATTATGAAGTAAAAACACTTGACAAATCCACTCTCATACATGCATATGTACCACACCACATGCACAGAGTACTTACTTACTACACAACACCAACACCAACACCAACATATTTACTTAACACTTCACCACCATCTACACACCCACCATCAGACCCAAACGACGATCCATAATCTCAGAAACAGTCTCCATGAATGCAGCTTCACTTGATTCAGGAAGAACACAATCATCTGCTTCTTCAACAATCTCCTCAATCACAGATTTCTTATTCAGATTCTCCCTACACATTATGTTCCCAATTGCAAAAGGAGTCAAACCTCTCTCAACACCTTTCTTCAAAAGCATGGTGGAAATCCTAAGTGTTTGAGCACATTCTAATGGTAAATTCCATCCGTAAAAGTTAAGCAAAGCAATATCTTCTTCAGCATCTAACGAGTTTATGTAGTCAATAGTTTCACAACTGAATGGCTTGCGAGCTTGTGGCCAGTATAGCCAATCAAACGTGCAATCTTCAAACTGTAAATTGTAAATCAAGTCAACTATTTATATATAAAAATATATATATATATATTAAAAAAAAAATATGATCAAACGCTTACACTGTGAGGCAAACAGTAACCATGATCGATTGGAATCAAAACAAACTGTCCATCTTCTCCTTTAGTCACCAGAATATTCCCAGCATGTCTATCAGCATTAGCCATCCTGATATCCAACACTGAGATCTTATGAACCTCTTCAACAGGAAAAGCACCGGGACCCATATCCTCACAGCTTCCAGAATTTTCCATGAACATCTGTAAAGACCCAATCTTCTCCTTCACACCATCTGGATGATTAAACCCTGCGTGCATACATCTAGCTAATAAAGTCGATGGGACGCCGGAAAATCCTTTGTGTTCGCCGGAAAAAGATCTCCGGCCACTTTTTGGGTGGTCTAAAAGATAGGCGGCAACCTCACGTAATGCACCTTCACCAACTGTAGTCCCTTTTTTTAACCCTTCACCATTGACAGATAAAGGTAGTCCTCTAGGGTTATTTACAGCCATAGGCTCCTCATCAATCGGTTTGAATACAGATATGTATTTAGTCCCTGATTGATCCATCATGAAGTAAGCACCACCTGTACCTTCGCTTGACCTTTTTGGGTAATTTCCTTTTTCTAAACCTTGATAAGTAGAGTTGACTAAGTCAAAAACAACACAAGGGAGTTCAGCTTTTGGGTTAACGATCACTGGATCCAACCAAAACTCTCTATTCTCTCTAGGAACTATGTCAGCACCACTGTTATGTTGTATGTTAGAAGAATCAAACTCTCTTGAATCATTCACCTGTGGTGCATCGATGGCCAGCTCAAAATTCTTCTCTCTAGGTGTGACTCGAATCTTTGCAACCTTTTTTACAAACAAATGAATCACACCATCGTTGTTATGCTTGCTGATGTCATGTATAAGTCTCTCATCTTCAAGCTGTTCGCCCTCACACATGATGTCTTCTTCATTGATATCGATTAATCCTTTCTTTTTCTTAGCAAGTTGTTTTTTCACAAAACCAACATCACGGTTTCTATCAACATGCAATGTGAAATCTTTACCTGAAGAAGTTTTGACATTGATTGTTTGAAGATCTGAAAGCTTGACAACTAAATGGATCACGTTTCCATCTGAAACGCCATAGTCTTTGACTGAAGAATCGGGTCTTGCTAACTCTCTGCCACCACAAACTAGCTTCTGATTCTTTACAACGAAGCCTCTGTAGCTTTGAATTCGAAGTTTCACAGACTGGATTGAATCTGACCCCAAAACCCTAATTGGAACGACTGAACCAGACATAGCCAAATGAACAACGATGGGGTCTTCGCTACATAAAGGCCTCGGCGGGAGAATCAGTGTATCGGAAAGTGGGTTGATTGCTAAAACGCCGGATGACGACATTATGTGTCTAAATGAACTAACTTTTTACAAGCCCTAAAAATGTTTGAGAAACTCAAACACTAGAAACAGAAAAAACAACAAGACGTGAAAACTATAAAGGGATCATCCTGATTGCATCCATGATCGATTCAATTACGAATTACGATCGTCAAACTATACAAACCCTAGAAACGTAAACGCTCTCGAATCAAATTAAACCCAAGGAAATCGATTTGGGAAAATCGAAATCCAGGTTTTATTTAACCAACCGAGAATTAACAAATCGAAAACGAGAATTTACACAAGTGGTAGAAATAATAATGAACAAGACAGGATGATTATTACCAACTGGATCAAACGGGAACCAAAATGAAAGCGCTACGTGGAGGAGACCATACAACCGATCGATTTTTGGGGGAAATTGAGTTTTGACGGGTGATTTTTCGGGGGGTTTAGGGTTCAAATTCAGCGAGAAGCGTTTATCGACCGAGGTTTGTGACGATGACGAAGGGAATGGAAGGGAAGAGATTGTTGAAAGTTGAACGTAGACAAATCAGAAAAGTGTTATACGCGCTTTGAACGTTGAAATGAGTTACTGACTTTTTGAGCAAGACATAGATTAGACCGACAGCCATGATTATGAAGTTTTGAAATCTAGCAATTATCATCCACGTACTTTCTTCTTCAGTAATTTCCGGTCCTCCACTTCATCTTATTCACTAATTTCATTTTGGGTCTAAAGTTTAATCGTAATCACTCATCTACGTGAGTTTTTATACAATGGTTTTACGGATTTTAATCCTAATCATTCGTTTTACGTGCGGTTTTTAGTGATTACTAGTGACAATCAATAGGAATCACTAGTAACATTTTTATTTTTATTTTTATTTTTCCTAATCACCTATTAAAAATTTTCACTATTTTCATTATGATTGTAGTCATTTCGTCGGATATATATACATATAGATTACATAAATGAAGAAATACGTGGATTCGTTTAACAAATAGTCGTGTTGGTATTGTCTAATCAATAGGTTTCGTTTTTATAAAGAGTTATTCATTTGAACGGTCTTTATTTTTTTATTTGGTTTTGGCTTTATCCCCGAATCAAGTTTTAATGATCATTTTGTCCGTAGTAACTTTTTCTACATATCAACCACGAACATTTTAAAGTTTTGTTGAAGCATTTCAATTTGTATACCTTTCTTCATAAAACCAAACTAATCAAAAGTAGTGTTTGACATGAAAAAATTAGGTGTGTGAGGGTGAGCAAGAGATATATGTAAAAGGAATGGTTGTTGGATATGGTTTTGTCCTTAAATGTCAAAGTTCGCCAACAAGTTTATTTAGAATACGACCAAACAAAACAATTATACCAGACTATTTACAAAATGTTTGGATAAAAAAACGCATTTAATATGTAAATTTATGAATGTAGTACATATAAGTCTGAACTTTTTATCTGGTATTAGTTACTACAAATAAGCACATCAGGATGCTTTAATCATTTGAAATTAAACAAAACAAAAATTGGTATGATAATGATAGCATACAACCCATTCTTATTGTTAAGTGGAGTGGGTCCAAACTTTTAATCATACACAAACCATTGATAGTGGGTCCAAACTTTTGATATAACCGTTTCAGCTTAATTAAAAATGAGTTTTACAAGAGCCAGTTTGGAATCATACTTATAAAAGATCCAAGCGAACCTCCTTATTATTATTATTATTATTATTATTATTATATATATATATATATATATATATATATATATATATATATATATATATATATATATATATATAAATCTAAAGGAAGTTAGCAATAGTAACTTTTATGTCTTTAGGTTTTTGCCACAAATGTTTAGTGAATTTGACACTTTTAGTCCTTAAAGTGAAAACTTTTACAATTTTGTGTTTTGATTAAGTTTTTGTGCTTTTAGGGTTTTGCCACAAATCTTTAGTAACTTTGACACTTTTCATCCTTGCAGTGAAAAGTTTTATATTTTGGTGTTTTTGCCACAAATCTTTAATGAAATTGACATTTTTCGTCCTTATAGTCAAAACTTTTACATTTTGACATAAAAAACACAAAAAACCTCCTTTACAATTTTGCCACCATATTTTCTCAACTTTGGCAACTTTCACATTATTGCCACAACATTTTTGGATTTTCTCCATCAGTGTCCCTTCTTTTGGTTGTCGTACACTTTGGACATCTGATTTTAGGAGTTGTCGACTTTCTCTCCTATTTGCGGTGAGTTACACTTTCAGCACGTATTTTTTAAAGTTTGCCGATTTTCCCCATATTATCCCAAAAGCGGCGTAGCCGCGAGTTCTTTGCTAGTTATTATTATTTTCCTGTATATGAATCTTGCACGAATGTACATTTAACTTTTCAAGTAAGTATCGACTTCGGTGGTGTTTGCATAAAACTTATATGACAATTTATGGGTATGATTTGGTAGTGTATTTTTAATAGCTTTTAATTTTTACATCTGAAGAAAAAATTTGAATTAAAGGAAAAAGTTTTAATATTCAAATTCAAAGCTACATAAAGCTTTGGGGCAATGACTTGAAAAGGTAACGAACTTTCGATTTTGTTCACATTTAGTCACTAAACTTTTTTTCATTATCTATTTGTCACTGATGTCACACCCCGATCCTTGTCGGAATCGATCGAGGCGTGATATATTGTTCAAAGTCTCATGACAACTATGTTATAATATGATTAGATTCAATTAAGTACTAAGTATGCAAATAAGATCCACAACATACAAATACAAATCCAAATATGAACAACATTTATTACATCAAATTTAAATAGTCTTGTGGATTTCTAAGGCACAACCTATTTTTCATCAACTTCATTCTTCAAATCTGCATCATGGGTAAAAACAGGTCAACTACGAGAGTTGGTGAGTAATCTAATTTTAGTAGAGAAAATTGTGAAGTTGAAACCTTTATAATTGGAAATTTGTTTTCTTTTAAAGTCGGCAAACAATTGTATTTGAGATAACGGTTTATAAATCAAAAATTAATTAACAAATGATAACAACAACAATAAGTCCTCACCCTATATATACATATGTATATATATAAATATATATAGGATGGAGCATCTAATCATCATACACACTCAACCACGTGCGATCAATCACCTTAGCGTCCCAAGGCGGGGTGGTCAACCCAATAGCGCTATTATTGTTCATAACGTACCTCAAGAATACGGGCTAGTCATGGAGATTAGACTAAAATGATAATGCACTACAAGTACATGTAGCGTAAACAAACAATAGTTATACAATTAATGATTCACGTATAAATGTCCCAACAATGTCTCAATTATGATAAAACAATAAAATGAAGTTGGAACATATTAGAACCACATGATACACCCCAAAAGTATTGAAAATTATAAAATATGGGGTAGATTACTCACATTAGTCCCAAAACGAAATGCGTGTGTCGTACGATAGACGATTCGGGTCAAAATGGCGTAGAACCTAATATAATTAATAGTTTTGGTTTAGGAACTGCTAAACGAGAATGGAGTATTAATACAAATAATTAGACACATATTCTTATATTAGATGAATTAACAATAATTCATTTTGATTATAATATTAAGGTATTTATTTGTTAAATGAATTTTAAATTGAATTACTTACTTTGCATAATTAATTTATATTTTCAATTTAGGCCAGATTTTAATAATTTCTTATTAAAATAATAACTTGCCCAATTATAATTATTTACAGATTTTAACAATTATTTATATGAAATAATCATTAAAATGCATTTTTACATGCTTAAATACTTAGGAAAATAGTTTTAAATAGTAAACAGTATTGAAAAATTATGAAATTATTAGGAAATCATTATTTCATACAATATGAATTACTGTAAAATTTGTATATTTTTCTGAACTGTTTTAGTATTTATTTAATATTTTAATGATTAAACAACACAAAATTCGGGAAAAATAGTAAATGATTCTCAAAACATCTGTAAAATTAACCATAGTTTTATAACATGATGTAGAGCTCATTGTATAAGTTTAAGATATTTGTGACTATGGGAAGTATTTTTTATATATTTCATTATTAATTAATCAATAAAATCACAAATAATAGTAAAAAGTAATATAAATGCATGAAACTTCATATATCATGTTTAATCAGTATATAGGTCATCCCAGAATTTTCTCAGAATTTATTGAATGCAAAAAGTATTTTATGTGAATTATTGTCCTACTTTATTGCAATAATTATAGTAATTCAATAAAAATAAGTTATTTTCTAAAAATTTCCAGAACTTCTTATTTTATTGATGGGACTCTGAGAAAAATCAGGTTTATGCATAAAATGAGTTTTAGATATTTTGGTGGATTTAATTTGTTTCTTGTATGAATATGAAACTTTTAACAACATACCTTGATGAATGCTTCAAGAGGGATGAAGATTTGAGTATAATAGATTGTTCTTGGCTGGAATATGAGTATTTCTTGGATGAATTTCGAGATTGAGTGTGAGAGAAAGAATAGAGAAGGTTTAAGTGGTGAAGAGAATAATGTGTTGGGAGAAAAATGAAAGGAAAGTGGATGGGAGGTGTGAGTGGGAGACCATGGGAATAATCTTTTTGCTTTTGGTGGTCTTCATAATTTCCCACTAACACAAGCATCTTTTACATAATTAATATAAGAGTTTTATAAAATTTAAAGTAAAGTTTATAAAAATAGAGTTTTATAAAATTTAATGTAAAGTTTATAAAAATGGAGTTTTATAAAAGATAGGTTATGATTTGATTATAACAATCTACTTTGATTTGAAGTTTAATTATAGCATTCAAGTTTGATTCTTTTAATTTAATTAGAGCATTATACTTTGATTTGATTTTAATATGGTATCATAATTTAATTTGATTATAGTTATAACGTTGTACTATACTATGTTGCTATTAACGTCAATTTATATCGTAGTGTATGGGTTTTGATCCTATTAGCGTCAAGTAATCTTGAGTAGGGTTTGAATGAGATTGAGAGAGGTTTCGTTTGTGATCTTTTTGAGTGTCCGGCTTCGCAACGCAAGGTCCATAGACCCCGTTAAGCCATGATTTAGTGTCCTACACAATCCCGATGATTGTGCAATAGTGTTTTATCGCTTTGGTTCATTGTTTAGCACTGTTAAGGCTAAGGAAAATCAAACACATGAACTTTCCAAATGATGTTTTCTCATTAAAATAGCGAATTGTACAGTGATTACATAACGTAAACCCTATCATACAAGGGTTAATGGAGTTGACCGGTTTGACTAGTTGACTTTGTTTGACTTTGACTTGACCGAAATTTGATGGTTGTCACAACTGAACTATTCAAATTGTTCACATTTTACCCTTATAACCGGTAACAAACAACCAGTCATAAGGTAACAAACTTTTTTTCACTATCTATTTGTCACTGAAAAGGTAACGAACAACCGGTCATAATGGTAAAATGTGAACAGTTTCAATAGTTCAGTGGCAAATAGATAATGAAAAAATGTTTAATGACTAAATGTGAACAAAGTCGAAAGTTTTTTCCCTCTAAAAAA